CATCTCTAATGAAATTCGCGGAACTAAGTGTTTCACATTTGTAAAAACTGCTCTCTCCAGTCTGATACGGGCAGAGGAGACTATACGAGTAGTGCATGCGCGTTAGGTAAGTAGCGCTGAATCGTCTGTGAAAAGCTGTTTATTTTTTATTTGTTTAATTTTTTCATACATCGTTTATTATAGTATTTGAATAGAACATGTGGCAACGATTAGATAATTCTTCAGATGATATAATTTTTTGTGCATTCTGATATATAAAATGAATGAGGTGTAACGCTGTTAAGTGAACATAGCGCCAGAGTATCGCTATGGTAAATAAATATATTGAATTTTAAAAAGCGTATTTATTCTATTGTGGTTTTTGCGCTATTGGCAAAGCAGATTTAATTCAATTCAATAATTTTAAATGAAATGCAGGAAAAAATGCATATAATTTAATATTCCGTACAAGGAAGCCATGTGGTGTACATATCAGATTTTTTATTTTCATATTTTCATAAACATATTTTAAAAAAATGTTTATCAAGCCCACCAGCGGCCGAGCGGTAAAGTCGCTGAACACTTGTAGTTCGATCCGAGGTTCGAATCCCGCGAACAGGCTGGCTGCATGGGCATTTTCGTGGTTTTCCCCATGTGTAACGTGTATACGAGCCAGTTTCCCGTAGAAAGTCCTTCACGAAGGCGTGTTGTATTTAATTATAGCAAAGCAGGGCTATCTGCCTAAGGGGAGGCTACTAGGGCTATCTGCCTAAGGGGAGGGATGCCTTCATGGAGGACTTTCTAAGGGAAACTGGCTCGTATACACGTTACACATGGGGAAAAACACGGGAACGGGCTGGCATGCAGCCAGCCCGTTCGCGGTATTCGAACCTCGGACCGAACTACCAGTGTTCAGCGACCGCTCGGCCCCTGGTGGCCTTCACGAAAGCATCCCACCCCTTAGGCAGATAGCCCTCGTGTGCTTTGCCATAATTAAATACACCAACGCCAAAAATATTTATCGAAGTATTCAGTATTTGCAGTTAGTATGGTCAGTTTGCTAAAACGTTTTCAGATTTAGGTACAGATAGATGAAAAAGGAATTCTTTGTTTCCTTGGAATTTTTGTTCTGTTTTAAACATAATTTATAGTAGTGTAAATAAATACTATAACATAATTATAGTATTTATTTACATAAACTTTTATTGTATTTTTGAGAAACCATTTTTATAATATTCGTTATATTCAGTGTGTTAAGTAAAGAAAGAGGTATCGTTCGAAATATTATCCTGAGATTTCAAACAAAAAGTGGTTTCTCAGTGAAGAAAGTTTAAAAATTTTTAAGCTGGGTGGTCAGCTTGGCGAGTAGCTCGTCAGGTAGGCCATTCTGATTTTACTGTGAGGAGGGTTTGGAACCAGTCGATAGAAGAAACGTCATTTGCACGGCGACCAGGCCCAGAACGCTCTCGACAGACCAGTCATTGAGAAGACCGTCATAGCATACGACACGTACGCGTACAGCCGACTGCCTCATTGGCCGCTATCCAGACATAGGCAGCAGCTTCATTATCGGCATCTGAGTCTTCCTGAACCATCGCAAGACGCCTGGTTGAAGGACATCGCGGCGCCCATTACGTGGTGCTACACATGACACCCACGCACCGACGCCTCCGTTGGGAGTGGTGTCGCGCACGACAGGATTGGACTTTTAACGGAATGGAACCAGGTCGTCTTCAGCGACGAATCTAGATTCAATTTGACCAGATCACAATCGTGTTCGTGTGTGGAGGCCCCGTGGTGAACGCCTCAATCCTACCTTCACTTTACAGTGACACACCGTTCCCACAGTTGGTGTGATGGTATGGGGTGCCATTGCTTACGATATAAGGTCACCCCTAATATTGATCCACAGCACAATGATAGGCCAGCGGTACTTCCATGACATCCTTCAGCCACATGTGTTGCCACTCATGGCAGGGCTCCCAGGAGCCTTTTACAACAAGACTGCTCGGCCATATACAGCACGGATCTCACAGGACTGCCTCCGCCACATTAACACTCTTACCTGGCCTGCTCGATTCCCAGATTTGTCACCAATGGAGCATATCTGGGATCATTTGGGATGGCAAGTTGGACCAAAGAATGTCTGTGTAAAGAAGGAAAGGCTCCATAGACGTAATGTAAACCAGTTTGTCTTCTACGCCGCTAGAAAGAAGAGGGAAAATTCGCCAAAGGATTTGGCGACGGAACCTGTTGGCGAAAATTTCCCCCTTTATGATGTACCGGACCTGGCGGCGATTTTCCTCCTTCGCGATATGTACAGGAAATTAAGGAACACGGGTTAAGATGAATGAAAAAATTAGGTTAAACTTTCACTGGCTGTTGAACTTGCATTACCCATATCGCAGTTTGATGTCTGATTTTATATCCGTCAATATGAGGGGGGAAATGGAGTCACAGCTTTAAAAATCTTGATAAACGTGACCGTCGAAACTGTCTGAACTTCAACATTAGCTTTGGCGCTTTTTAGCGACAGATATTTCACGCATTAGCAGTTGTTACCCTTTTCGTTCGAAGGGAGCCACGTCTGCTGCTGCGAAGTTTTCCTTCTTAACAGTACATATTCTTTGGTTGGACAGCCTACGACATTGGCCGAAATAGAGGCGTGTTTACAGCAACTATGTAACGAGATGTCTCAGGACACCATACGGAGCTTGTATGCCTCAATGCCCGCTCGTATCGCATCGTTTATTCGCGCTAGAGGAGTACTAAAACTTCCATTTATGTGTACTTTTTTCTTTAATTTTCCAATCACTTACTTATATCAAAGTAGTACTTACATATGTAAAATTTCGTTTCGTTTTGACAAAACTTTCTTGTTGTGCAAATTTTTATGGCAATGAGTGTATATGCGTTTCAAATATATTCAAAATTTTTGGCAAAATAGATTTCTAAATTTTCCATAAATAACTTATGCAACTAATTTTCGTTTTAAGAAGAGAAATTGGGTACTGATTGTGATGTTGCACATTTTGCAGTCGACAACATAGTATGGAGCACCAAAAGAGAAAGCAAGATCGTTTAGCATATTAAAAATACGCTATTTAAAAGGATTACAAAATTGGTCATCAAATAGTTCCATTTTAAGAAATGAATCCAATAAGTTAGGATTTGAGATTACGGTAATATTGGTCTTGGATACCGTTTTGTAAAAATATATGAAATTTAAATTTTTATGCTGGACATAGCGTCAAAAATTTTTTAACAGCTAAGTTAATAAAAAAAACCACTCTTATAATTCAAGGTAACATGAATTCGAATGTTTGGAGTCAATAAATAATATTGTTGAAGACATTTACGCATGCGAAGTTTTGAATGCAGATTTCTAAAAGAAACATCAATGAAAGCATTTAGCTTCAAACCAGGGTCATTTGAAAGAACATTAAAATTTGGAATCTTATATTCAATGAAATCTTGCTTTAAACAACTCCTTAAGAATCATTCCTTACCCCATCCTAGGCGATTTCAAATATAATTTTAATTTGCATACCTTTGATAGTGTAGTGCTTGTCGGGACTGATTAACATTGATAGTTCAATCCAGGCTCAAATCCCAGGGAATGGATTGGCTGCATAAGATTCCAATGTGTAACGTGAATATATTCTTTTTGGGGGACGGGGGGGGCGAGTTTTCCACGAAGACATTCTTTCCTTAAGCTGCATTCGTGATGGCCTGGTGACGTGAAAAGCGGAAACCTGGAAGAAACACTTTCAGCATATGCATTTCGCGGCTGAGTATATATTCTCTTTAAGAGTTGTCATATGCACATCAGATCCAAGAAATTCAGGAAATACTGCTGACGAAAGATGCCGATTAGGAAAGAGGTTGGAATTCTGGGACATCAGGCAAACCGCTGCCCCTCACAGATGATTTTCAGCGCCAGATCTTACGCTTTGAAACCAGCTTGATTCTTTGAAAGCTGACGATGCAAATCTCAGTTACAGCCAAGAAACTGACGTGGGAGGAAGTTAGAACTCTTTATATGGAGCCGAACACTGAAAGTGACTTGAGAAGCCTCTTAAAAGATGGTTTGGTTTATTTGATGGCAAAGCACTCGAGGGCTATCTGGATACATTCGTCAAGGACTTTCTAACATGAGAGATGAAATTATGGTAGCGCTTCCCTGAAATGCTCTCAGGAGAGAGAGGATTCATTTGAAAGCGAACATTGGTTTAACACCTTCCGAAATAAAGCTGATTCCCCGATTAAAGTGGTTATCTTTAATCGGGGAATCAGCTTTATTTCGGAAGGTGTTAAACCGACTTTTCTTTGACTCTAGTCCCAACGGAACTTAAAAAATTATTCTGCTGTGAAGAAAGTAGTAGAATTCTCAAGGGAAAAAAGGGAGCTCTTGAGCTACTACATTTTTTCACAGAGGTGCAACTCACTAAAGTGGAACAGCAGATTTATCTCTTTAAGACCCGTTCTCGATTTGACATCAGCATTCGGAACTACAAACCAGGAAAGTTTCTTATAATTTGCTTTTGATGCCAAAGGCTTGGTCATCGACAGATTAAATGCAGTAATAAATGAAGATGTTACAAATGCTTTCGAGAGCATCTGACGTACAATCAAAGTGAGTGAGATGTTTCTGATTACTTAAGATGCTCAAAATTCCGATGAATACAAAGTCAAGCAGGGTATATATAGCTTTAACCTACCTTCGAGAATATTCCCGAGAAAACCACTAAGAATGCGTTCTGGAATGTTCTCGCTCCATATATGGCATATCCCCAATTTTGTCGCCAAATCTGGCAACCCTGCCTTTCCCTATCATCTTTTGGCAACCCTAAGCCTGCTTTGTGAGGAAGCTATTTCGCCGCAGCTGGGCATTTCGCAACAATTCCAATTTTTGTTTTATTATATGCGAAAGTATCTCTGAATTCTTTTATTTCGAGTAAGTGAATATATATTTTGAATATGCAAAATTTTAACTTCATATACTGATAGAGAACTGGTACCTTTAAACTCCTTTCCATCCACAGTGTCCATAAATAGATTAGTAATGCTGTATCTGTGTGTTTTGTTCGCAATGCCACCTTGTAGGCTGTCAATCCATCCTGTGGAAAAAGCTGAGTAATAGCATTCATGTTTAAAAAAATTTAGTATCTTTTTTATTAATTACTCTTTACTTGAAATTCCCATAGAACATATTATTTTGGATACAGCCGAAATCATCGCGACAAAAACATCGCGGACGAAAACGTCGCGGAGAAAACAACGCAAGGAGGAAACGTCATGCTACAAAATATCGCAGTTCTAAAACATCATGGTACAAAATATTGGCGTCGAAAATAAAACGATTCAAAAACTTCGCAGTTTAAAAACATCGTCGTCGAAAATATCGTGGTGAAAAATAAAGTATCTACAAATCATCGCATGACGATATAACATCGCAGACATGCTTTTTTGAGGCTTTAATAATTGTAAATGGATATTCCCATGATGATTTGTGAGCGCAATATTGAAAGAAGGGTAATTTTTACTTTCATACTTTTTATAAACTTATACATTTTTGCTGATAAAGTAAGAAGGAGACTTAAGCATAGAAAATTAATGCAACTTACAGCACTTAATGGAATTTTAAACCGACATAGTTAACTAACAAAGGTTATTAATAAATCATTTAAAAAAAAATTTACTAGTAATTTTTCATGAAAAGTATAACCTAAAGAAATTTAGAAAAAGGACGGTAAATCTGCATGACCTTATCTATAAAAAAATTGCTAAGTTAATTTTGAGATTATTTTCTTCACTTTTGTTAATCTAATACTCTTACAGTGAAAATTATTTCTTGTTTTGTTTCAGTTTATTTTTAAAGTGTAAAGTTTTTACAATTTTCATGCACAGCTTGCAGTCAGTTACTTGAATGTCGATTTGTTAGTTATGACGAAAGTTAGCTATATAATATTAGAAAGCCCGGCGGTCATACGAAATGACCGCTGTTCTAGATATTATAAATTGTACTTAAAATGATTTGTGCAAAAATATCCGTAAATTTAAACTGAATTACCCAGGGCAGGCGGCGAGGACGCCCTTTTGCTTACTGCCCCACCGGGTTTACCCCTTCTACTTGCTTAATTGTTTAAAGTAGAGCACAATGAAGGAAACCACTGGCGGTACATTTCTTAAGAGCCCAACAATAAAGGCGATTTATGAAATGTTAATTCGCATGTCAAAGATCTCTTTGTACACAACATTTCTGTGTAGATCTTTCCATCCTTTATAAGCTCGCCTTGCAGAGGACCATCCAATATTTTTAATTTTACGTCCGTTCTTTCACAAACTCTTGAACAGACAACACGAAGTTGGCCGTGTCCAAATGCAGGTAAAAAAATGCCAAGACGTTTAAGCGTTTGCCCTGAGACTTATTGATGGTCATAGCAAAGGCAAGTTTTACAGGAAATTGTCTACGTCTCAATTGAAAAGGCAACCCTGTGCCGTGGCAACTTCATTCCTTTGGCTAGTACAGTTACGCAAGTAACCAATAAACTATCGGCAACCAAACAGACACTTAAGCAGCATATATATATATATATATATAATTTATCAAGCAAAGCAGTAATAACAATTTATGAAAAACCAATTTTGGTCTAGAAAACATCTTGCGCAATATGCTGCAAAATAAGTAAAATATAAAAATTGTAGAAAGCTCGCCTAAAAGTTACCAAGAGCTGCTGCTCCAAAAGGTTTAAAACGTTTTCAAAAATTAATACACATGAAAAGCAAATCATTAGACATGTAAAACATAAATAAAATTAAAAAACTGAAAACGTTAAAAAGTAAGCGGAAAATGGTAAATTAGCCAAATTCGACTTCCAAACAGGCTTTTGATGATAAGTGATTTTACGAAAATCACTTCGCATTGGCTAAACGCCCACAGCACTTCGCTCCCCTCCGTACGTCATCCAAAATAAGACGCTAGAAGTTAGCAGCCATTTTTAAACAAGTTTTCAGAGGGAAAGCTTTGCATCGCCAAAGACCAGTTTTTGTTTCTTTTGTTACAACTTTTTCTTGGTCTTAGCAAGACCCACTGAGTTTGTTCGTTTCTTTTCTTAATTTTTTATTTTATATTAATTACAGGTTTTCTTACAGTTTTCTAAATCTATTATTTTATAATTAAATTGTTAATCTTTAAGCTTGCAGGCCCAGCCCGTATGTTTTTGTATTTTTAGGACTAATAGCTCATCGCTATTTATTTTCGTTTTGATTTTAATTTTAGACTAGATTTAGGAAGTTTTGATTTTGATTAACATATTTTAACACCTTAATGTGTCATTCTGAGCGGACGCGTCGGGAAATTGGAACAGAGAATTGAGACTATTAAAATTTCCAAGACACTTTGTCAAAAAAAATTTTTTAGCGAAAAAGTTTCAATTGTCTGTTTCGGCGAAACGCGTAATGGGGTTAGCTTGATTCGACGTTCAAATAAATGAAATTTCCCTTGAAAAGCCTGTTTGGAAGTCGAATTTGGCTAATTTACCATTTTCCGCTTACTTTTTAACTTTTTCAGTTTTTTAATTTTATTTATGTTTTACATGTCTAATGATTTGCTTTTCATGTGTATTAATTTTTGAAAACGTTTTAAACCTTTTGGAGCAGCAGCTCTTGGTAACTTTTAAGCGAGCTTTCTACAATTTATATATATATATATATATATATATGGGGTGAAGTAACATCATCTCCTCCGAAACAGCTGGTTCCCGGGCTTAGCGAAGCACACTGTTCGATTCCGCAGGTCCGTGGCACGCCATTTTGACCATTCGTGTCTTCTCGGGACTTAGAATTAGCCGAGAAATTAATTAAAAACTAATTTTCCCTTACGTTTTCCCTACATTTTCCACTTTCTTTCTTGGGTTTCCCCAATTAGAGGGATTTGGCTGCGTGCCAAATTATTTTTTCTCGAATATCTGCAGAACGGCGCCGAGTTGAAATTCGAGACGCGTATCCTCGGATTCCAAAAAATTCTCCGAATACATCGATACCGTTTTCATCTTCGGACAACTTTAATCGGTTGAGATATTAATTAAAAACTGCGGAAACGTTAATTTCTGTGCCATTTTTCCGAGTGGCAACAATAAACTATCGGCGACACAAACTTTAGCCGCTTATATATATAAAGAAAGATTTCAGTAGGGTTTGGATTTATTAGATTATGCCAAAGACACTACGGCTATCTGCTTAAGGGATGGGATTCCTTTGTGGAGTACATTCTCAGGAACTGGTTCACTGGAAAATCACGAAAATCTTCATGCAGCCTTTTTTTAAATTTTTTTTTAAATTTTAGAGATAATGTATACTTGTAGTGAACCTTCTTGGTGACTATGTCCCTTGGACGAACAGTGTTTTTGAGAACAATAAACATAGGTTTTAATCATTACTCAAGTTCACCACATCCACTGAAGATTAAAAAGATATGGAATTTTGAGTGGTCGCTTTAAATAGGATTGTGTACATTTACATTTAGATTTAGACATTTCTTATTAGCACTTTAAAAGTATTATTTAATTTTTCATACACATTTTATTCGAAAATTTTTTAGTTACTTGTTAAACTTACAGTGACCAACTTCCTAAGACAATTTTTAATGTTTTTTTTAAGTATTTCTTAATTTTGAGAGAAGCATGTCTGAGATGTTATCGTCATGCGATGATTTGTAGATAATTTATTTTTTACCACGATATTTTCGACGACGATGTTTTTAAACTGCGAAGTTTTTGAACCGCTTTTTTTTCGACGACGATATTTTGTACCACGATGTTTTAGAACTGCGATGTTTTTTCTTTGCGATGTTTTCTCCCACCATGTTTTGTAGCACAACGTTTTCGCCTTGCGTTGGTTTTCTCCGCGACGTTTGTCCGCGATGTTTTTGTCGCGATGTTATCGGCGGACACCATTATTTTATGGTAACAATTTTGTATAGAATAGTTTTTTACATAAAATTTAGACCTACGTGAGGACTAAAAACTCGAACAAACTTAACCACAAAAGTGCTAAATATACTCACATCCAAAATTATCTTTTCTGGCATGAAATCAGATTAATATGAATTAGTGGAATGATACATAGCATCATAATGCATAAAATCCAAGGAAAAATTTAAGGGTTCTATATATGATGTAAAATTGCAGCATGAAGAAATAAAAATGGTAATAATATGTTACAAGGAAATTTAGAAAAAAATGAATAACTTAGAAAAGAATCAAGGCTTATGAAATGTTATCTCCCCTGATTTGTTCACACATATCAGAGCTTAGTTTCATGTTGACAATAACGCTGATAACCACACTTTATGGAATTAAGTTCCCCTCTCCCAGCAAAGCGGTTGTATAGTCGTTAGGTTATTTTGAAGTAGGAGATGTGAAAACTGCAATGTCCTCGCCAGGACTAGAATCCTGGACCTCTAGAAAATGCGTCGTGTATGTTTCCAATCATATCATGAAGGCATGCGGAGAGGAGGGAGAAATTAACTTATATGGTCTTCAGGGCATTTACTTCTTAATAAAAAGGATGTGACAACTGCTTTTCAGAGGTGTTCTATAAGATCTATATCAGGTTAAGATCGGGAGATTTTGCTGGCCATGATATTCGCTCATTGTCTTCACTTCCAAAGAATTCATTAACCAGTTTTGCATAATAAGGATGTTCTGTAATGGTTCTTGTTAAACCTACGAAATATTTAAAGTGCAAATTCAGTCCAATATACAAGCCAACCCTGAACAATCTCGTTTGTAATAATTGTTTTAGACCTTTTAACACATGATACAGGTGATTACTTCTTGGAGATATATTTTAGGTTTAAGAATTTCTATACGTCTACACGGAGAAAAATTTAATACAGTTTCTGTTTCATTTCAGCATGGTTTTTCAAAATAATAATAATAAATAAATAACGGTAGCCATTACTTCTGTTTTACTAGGTAACAGTTTTTTAACAGCGATCTGTGAACCATACAGAGTTTGTGCGGGAAGTAGTAGGACTGATTTCCTGCCAAAACGTGGTGAAGGAGGGCGTTGTTACTGCCCTGGTTCGGTTGTGAGAAATCCTTTTTATCTACTAGCGTACTAATCGTCAGTCGTCTCTAAGCCTTCACAGAATGCAGATCGAGATAAAGCTAAACCCTTTGAAAGTGCCTTGTCATCTCCACAGTGAATCATTTATTAGAGCAGCGTTACGCGGTGAAGTTTTGCGTCAAACGGTAAAATTGCGAATGAGACCAATGACATGATCAAGACTGCTTGTGGGGGTGATGCCATGGGTCAATCAAGTGTTCTTGA